AAGTGGAAGTTCGATTGAAATTTGTGAAAAGTCTAAAATGCCGAAATTTGGAATTAAGAATTTTGTAATGAGACATATGGGGAATAGTAAGGACTAACTGAGTAAGGAAGTAAAGATGATTGGATTTGCATTTCTGAAAAGTAAGTCAAGAAACAGAAATGGCAGTAGAAAATTTTAAACTCCCTTGTTGAGTTTGTACACGTAGGACTATTCTCTTTTTATCTTTTGAAGACAAGACTTTTAAGCACAAGAACTGATACAATTGATATTGCCATCGCATTCTATCTCACATGCTTCCCCCCAAGTCACAAATATAGCTCTGAAATGACATAAGATCATGTTCAAACTTGTCAAAGATATAGTACATAGTCTCAGCTTCAGGTAGTGGCAGAGAAGTTTGTATCAGAATAACCTTCCTTTCAATAGTAATTATAAATTATTAACAAAATATAGGCAACAACAAAATTGCTTGTTGTCAGTATGGAGCAACTAAGAGCAGGATGACACTAAAGATGATTCAGCCTTTGAGAGAAGGAAACCACACTGTTTGAGAACTACATTGAAGAAAGCACATGGCTTTGATCTTGAGGAACCTCCCTACTCCATGTGGCAAGTGACTAATAGAACTCAAACAGAAAACAACAGTTTTATTTGGCATGAGGAATCATAGGACTGACTTGATACTATCAGAGTGACTAAAAAATGATAAGAGTTCCCCAGAAAGAAGATCCAAAGAAAGGGGAGCCCCCAAATCAACAAATAAACACCTCTTTAATCCTTGTCGAGCCTTGAACAATGCATGTGCAGGAAGAGACTCTATAAAACCAAGGAATAAAAGCTAGAAAGCTGAGAGAATGGAGAAGAAAATCCAGCAACTTCTTATTTATAGCAAATATATAGAGTTTGAAATTTTAGGTCCCCACCCCACACTTGTCCCCAAGTAAGAGAGACTTGGCTTTCACCTTGTATTTTCTATTGAAACTCAAGAAGGACAAAACCTTCATTTTATCTGATAGTAATTTATCTGCCTGCTAGAACAAAATTCAACAATGTGTGGAGGAAGATAATAGAATCTAAATAGCCTACAATATATTATTCACAGTTTACAATATGCCATCAGCAACTACTAGACATACAAAGAAACAAGAAAATGTGACCACAGACAGTGAAAAAATGAGTCAATATAAACAGACCTATAGCTGGATATTAGAAATGACAGACATGTACTTTAGAATCACCATGTGAAATCTATTAGAAAATGTGCATGAAAAGATAAATGCAATTGATAAGAAGATGGGAAATTTCAGAAGTGATACAAACATGGTAAGAAAAAAATCAAATGGAAATTTCAAGAACTGAAAAATAATCTGAAGTTAAGAATAAAAATTTGGTGGAATTAATGGCTGATTTAACACAGCTCAGAAATAAAAACACAAGTAAAGAAAATTAGTAAAAGACATGAACAAGGGCTGGAGTTGTAGCTCATTGGTAGAGTGCTTGCCTCGCATATGTGAGGCACTGGGTTCCATCTCAGCACCACATATTAATAAGTAAATAAAATAAAGGTCCATCAACAACTAAAAATATTTTTTAAAAAGAAAGGGATGAATGACTAAAAAGCATTTGTCAAAATATTTAACATCATTAGTCATCAAAGAAATGTAAAATGAATGCTCTTTATGGCCATCAGAATAGCTAAAACTAAAAAAAAAAAATAACAGCATCGAAGGAATGCTAAAATATGAACTATACATTGCTGCGCTATGTATAACTGTCTAATCACTTTGGAAAACCATATGTCAGTTCTTTATAAAGGAAAATACATAACAGTACCTAAACAGAAGTTTCACATTTGTCCAGGGAAATGAAACATATAGCTACAAAGGATTTTTATAGTATGCAGATGTATTCATAATAACTAAAACCTATAAATAATTCTGTGTACATTCACAGATAAAGAAATTCTAGTGATCAATAGTGGAATATTACTCAGCAATAAAAAAGTCACAAAGTTCCAATATTTTTAACACATATGGATTTCAAAAATATGTTGAGTGCAAGACACCAGAACCTCAATCTGAAGTTTGAAGTTGCATAACTACTAAAATGTAGTTGTGGTCATCAAAACCAAACAAAGGCCTCCCTGTGATTGGTGATATGGGAATTTGGATGGAAAGGGCACAGGATTATCTTTGGAGCTGTTGGAAACATTTTGTTACTGTCATCATGATTAGTTGGTTGTTGCTAAAATACATAAGAACTTCACACTTAAGATCTGTGCCTCTGATTGCATATATGTTATAAATCATAAAAAAGCATTTTTTATGTAATGCTTCAATATTGTCACACCCAGGGATTCAGGTAAGGCTGCCTGGATTCAAGACTGGATCAGAGAATTATAATGGTTAAAGGATGGTTGCTGCATCAGACAAATCTGGGGTTTTCAATCACGTTGCCAATTCCTTATGAATGTAAGCAAGTTACTAACCTCTCATAAAGTTCTCATAAAATGGAGATGATAAAATTAGAATCTGCCTTATAAGGTTGTCTTTGGTATTGTGCCTGGCACATAGATACATTCAATACATTTAAGCTGTAATCATTATTATTAAATAGCTCTTCAGCTAGACTTTCATTACTCTAATACAGTCAGGAATACTGGTATGACCATGAAGATTTTAAGAATTAGATATCTGCAAACTGCATTAGGCTGCAATCTAAATAGGGCAGACAATATTTGACAGCATATGATTAAGTATACTGGTGAATCCTATTTTAGTTATCCATTTCAAAGTAAGTTAATAATTATCTCTTTGCCAAGAAAAACTGTTCACTTTAAAATTCTTTTCTTGAAGCTCTTGTTCTTAAAAAAAATTCAAACGTAGAGCAATTAGAACATAATTTTTTTCCTACCTAATAGCTTCGCCCTTTGTTTCCCATCTCATAATCACAAAATCAAGTGTGTAAAACTCCTAACTACTTACATAAGTACATGTACATGTGTACAGGTGTGTTCATATAACTTTAAATAAAATTGTGGCCGTACTATACATACTTTCTGAATCTAGAATTTTTACTTAGAAATCTTTTCACATTTAGGATTCTGTTTGTTCAAAAAGTTGATCTATCTTTAAAAATTGATGCATCATAGTCTATGGCATGGATGGACTTTTCTTTTTTTTTAACAAACTCCCTATTGATGAACATCTGAGTAGTTTCAAGTTTTCACAATTATAGAGATGCATACCTTTTGCACTTGTGCTAATAATGTCATATATTAAATTTAGAAAATTATAATTGCTAGGTGAAAGAGTTTGAGCAAAAATTTTTGACCTTTTCTTGTACGAGAAAAACTATTTTGAGTGTATGTGTGCAAGAATAGTGAAAGAATGAGTATGAGAATGTTGAAGCGTTCTCTGAGTAGTAAATGATGATTTTCGTATTTTTTGCTTGTTCTATTTCTCATTTTTTAAAAAGGAAGAGTTGCTTTAAAATTTTAACAAAATTTCACATTTATGATAGCTACAGTCAATTGAGTGCATAATACTGTATAATACAGTCAATTCAGTGCTGAATACCTCCCATGCAGAACATTCTTCAAATTCCATGCAAAACTACGTGAGGTACTACCTTTATTGACACTGAGGAAACTGGAGCTTGGAGCACACATGGCTGGTATAGATTCTGGATTTCAACCTAAGTTCTGTGAAACACTGCAGTCCAGAGTAATCTTGAGTGAATTCATTTTGATGAGAAGGTTTTTGCCTTCTTTCTCAACCTTAACAGATATGTAAGTAGTGATATAGACACTCATTGAGCTAAAAATGTTGCTTCCATGGTTGTCAGAAGCCAGCATGGACATTAGATAAGTTGTACTTTTCCCAGTGACAGTATCTTCAATATCCAGCTTCCTCTAGAAATAAATAAAATTAAGAGCAATGATGACTTCATGGTGTTAACAGACTGTGGAGAGAGGCGAGTTCTTGAGACCTCTGAAAATCTAGTCTGCTTTTGCATTCCAGATTATTATTCTTCCCTCTTTCCCTTGGTTTGCAATCTCATATTTCCTTTCTGTCCACAGGGCCTATTTAGCAATGACTGAATGCCGAAATTCTCAATTTCCTAGTTTATGTACCTATGGATTTTTAGCCCTCCACCTGTGCACTTACCCCAATTCAGTCACAGAAGTTGCTAATTTCGAGTGAGATCAGATTTGTATTTTCAAAAGTTGTTCTCACTATAAAGGATTCATGCAACGGGGCCCAAATGAGAAGCCTGCAAACTGATTATACCTGAGGCTAGTCAAGAGTAGACTGCTGCTTAATTAGCAGAGTAACAAGAGTTGCAGCCATTCTGTTTCACTTCGTGCCATAGGAGCTAGGAGTGGGTCTTCTTTGTGTTTATTAAGAGGTACTCTAGCCCCGCATCTACCAACAAGTCAGGTACCCTGGAGAAATGCAATCCTGTTGGCATCCTGCTTTTGTGATGAGAAGTTGAGCAGAGGTTTCATTTTTTTTTTTTTGATAGCTTTGATTTTTACCCTCTTATTCTTCAGGAGAGTACAAGTGTTTCAGTCTGGCTTCCTTTTTTCTTGACTTCTAAAACTTGTGATATCTTGGAGTCAATACTTAAGAGCTCAGGAGAGACAGTTGTTAGCATTTTTTCCCAACCATGTTTTCAGTAACATTGAGTTGATGACATGAAATTAGATGTGGTGGGCATATTTGTAAGAGTGAAATTGGAAAATACAACATATCAAGAGAACTTAACATTTACCAGCACACTGCCTCTATCACTCCTCTAGTTCTGCTCACCATGTAAACCAAATCCACACAGAGCAAGAGAGAGAACATAGTGTTTTAATGTACCATAAGTTTTCTTCCATAGGGCTGTGGGTCTCTAAGAGGAGAAAAATTGAGTTCCCTCTCTCTTCCTATCTCATGTTTTACATTTTTTTCCCAAAGATCAAATATAGGCTAACTTTCTTCTTTCTCCTCTAGTGGATGGCTGCATTCATAGAGCAGCTGGCCCCTGTTTGCTTGCTGAATGTCGTAACCTGAATGGCTGTGAGACTGGACATGCAAAAATCACATGTGGCTATGACCTGCCTGCAAAATGTAAGTCCAGCTTTCTTGAATACTTTTTAAAACCAGATGAGAAGTCTTACCTTGTCTTATTCCCCAAGTGCATAATTGGGGAAAGAAATGATAGTAGTGGTATTTAATTAAATGTGCTTGTAGTCAGAGTTTTTGTGTGCCTGTATTTATGGTATTTAACTACGGGTGATTCTTTTGGTTGTTGTTGTTGTTGTTGTTGTTGTTCGGGTCTTTAACAGAATGTCTCTGAAATAGGGAAATAAAATATGAGCAAAATATACATTATAGTATTTAAGTGCCACAAGTGACAGCTTCTGGAAATGATGCCAATTTCTTATTCCTTGTTCAGGCTTCTTGATTGTGAATGTGTTTAGAGCAAAGGAGATCAAAGTGATGCATTGTGTTTTCAGCTGCCATGTAAAGGCTGATTGGCAATTACAGCCAAGGCATCTGTCACACTTTGCTTTCAGGAAAAGCCAGTGGAATGTGGTTGTCAGTGTGAGAATATATTTGCTCCTTGAATGTGGAATGGTCAAAATTTACATTATATTTGAATTGAGAAAAGTACTGCATTTAATTGACCTTGTTGCTCAGCCAACTCGGGTGGGGTGGTGTAGAATAAAAATACTAAGAGAGAAAATGGTTAAAGGCACGGCTTTTGAAATCACATAATCTTCAGGGCCAAGGCAGGGAGTTTCATTGCACTGTTAGGGTGTGCATTGACCCGGAAACTGAGACACCAGTTTATTGATTATCCCATTCACCTGCTTCTTATGATATTTCCCAGATCTGTGACTACATTTATGAAAACGAGAAGCTGGTTGTGTGTGTATGTTTTTAGCAGTGGAGAAAATATGATTAAAAATTATAACACAACTTATAGGATAATATATGGACTCTGTATAGACAGATTGTGTAAGAATGAGTTTCCCATGGATATGTGTGAATGGAGAGATAGCGTGTGTAGTGTAATTCTAAAGGTTACTTTAAAAGTATGTTTAAACTTGAGGATTTATATTAAAGAATAATGTATAAAAATTGTGTTTTTTGTAAATATTATAAATACTATGTTTTATTTTGCTCACTGTGGATTGCTATAAAAATATATCAACTGAATATTGTGTAATTTTTTTCTCTTACGACTTATCATTTTTAGTCTTCTTAATCTTGTGTTGAAAGAGTCAAATCATGTGACAAATGGCCCCTCACAGTTACAGAATATATATTTATATCAAATGAAACCCTGTTTACGGAGGTGATCAGAGTGTTCCAGTGGTTCTCCCTCTGAGTCAGTTCATGATCTGAGTATTAAGGTGATTTTCCCTTCCAGGATTATATAGTCTCATGTTTACAAATGCTCTTTTTCCTTCCTAATGCTACCTTTGTGATATAGTTGAACTATAGTATTCTGAGAACAGGCAGATTGTTGACTATTTTCAGACTCATGTTTGCCCTTAAACCAAGCACTAAGCTGGGTCTCCAGTTGATTCAATTCTTTCTTAGGTATTAAAATACAAGTCAGAAATCTCCAACTCTGAATTTTCTGTGGTCGGATGATAGCTCTAGCTTATGGGTTGCAAATGTGATAATTTTTAGTGGGCTTGCTGCTATTTGCTATCTCTGAATAAGTTATTCTGCTTCCTTTGAATGTCGATCATCTTATTTCAGAGTTATTAAAGACTTACACAATACCAGGCACTGAGGTATGAAGATCAATAACCTAATACCTGTTTATACTATAATCATATCTTGTAGCTAAGAGTCCTATCTTTGAGCTAAGGTGTTTCTTTCATGGGCATCCTGGGACAAATGTGTATTTGTTGGATGCAGATTCTAAATGTGGGTAGTCCCAGGACTTGGTATAAAATTCACATGAGCTTAGATACTGAGAGCCTGATAAATTCTCAAATCACTACATGAAGTTCACAAGGCATGTTTTGTTAAAAAAAAAAAATCCAACAGAATAGAAGCTAATAGACTAGCATGGCAGTGCTACCTCATAAAAATCAACAAACAGAGTCTTTATGACAACATATTGGTATTTCTGAATATTTAAAAATATTAATGATATAGGATGATGGAAAGAATATGAAAATGATTAATAATACCTTACACTCATATGTCACTTTAAAATATTTCCCAGTACTTTCACAAGCCCTTATATTTTAAATTATGTTTTATAAACACTGTGTGTTCATTTTCCTGTTTCCTATTCCTGAGAGATGTTTTTCTTGCTCATCAATTTGGTTCATCCATTTCAGAGTCATTAACAATCCACAGATGTGCTTTTGTAGTGAGAGAATGAAAAGGAAGCTCATTACATACTGTTTGGGTCATTTTTCCCCTCCATGTTTAATAATTCTACGACAGTTTGACAGTGGAGACTAGTTCCTATCTGTCCTCTGAGACGATGGGTTTGCCATTACAGGGATACTAAAGTCAGTCATCCAGCTACAAATGACGATATCTTCATGTGTCAGCAATTTGTTTGGAAAATGCTATTATCTGGGGTACAGGCAAACTTGGGCATTTTGGACTGGTCTTTGCTTTTTTTTAAATGCTTGCTAAATTAGTTTATTCACAAATGATTGTATTTGAATTCATTATATGTGTAGCCTGTGTTCTGAGACACATCATGATTGATGGAATGATAAGCCCCACATACTCAGTTTCTTCTTCAGTGCCTGGATATTTTAAGTGATTTCTTTCAATGCCAAAATATCCAAACATTTTTCCCAAAAGGAATCTTGAGCATCAAGAATTTTGGGTAATGTTTTATTGAAAACTATTGCTAAACTAACTTAGGAAGTGGACGAAAGACTATTTAAATAACTAATTCTTGGGATCTACAAGATTAGACAATTTTTAGTAAAATTTTTATTTCTATAGTTGTTTAGAAGCTTGTACACATGTGGGATATTTCTTTCTATTAATGCTATCACCATTCTGTCAGAATAATGATCAGCTTCATGCCAGCAAGTTTTCTCCCTCTTGGTCATAGTGCTAGTGTCAATGTCTAGCATAGTGTCTCCTAAACTTGTGCCAAAGAATCAAATGAAAGAACTGTTTTAGAATCTTTTTACTGGGAAAATGGATTTTTTAAAGCTGCTTATTTCAAATACTTTCCATCCTGCAGAATATGCTGCACAGTTCTGGTAGGGTTAACATACCTAAATCCAGAGTCCTGAGACTTGTCTGCAAAGCTCAACTTGATGTGACCTTTTCTTTTCTGACATTATCCCCTTCTGTGCTTGCCTTGCTCACCAGGCTTCTCTGCAGATCCTAGATGTCTTGACACTGGTGTTCCCTCTGCTTGGAATGCTGTTCTTCAAGATACCTACATGGCTTGCTCCATTTACTCCTCAAATCCTTGTTTAAATGTAACCTCAGGTGTCACTTTAACCTATTCATAATTATTTCTCTGCCTTATTTTTTAATTCCTTATTTGTAGCATGTAACCTTCAACTATATTATTATTTCATTATCTATCTCTTTCTACCAGAATAAGGGCAGAGACTTTAAGGGTTCATCTTTTCCCCTTGTTTCTATACACATATAGTTTATTAAAATATAATAGAGGCTTCAAAGATATTTGTTGAATGAAGAAATGATAAGTAACTAAAACCTTTCAAAATCCTCCATTGGATTTTTCCTTAAACATAGACTTATTAGCCTGATTATCTGTGGGCTTCCATGATTTACTGTCATATTTGAACTACTTTGTATGATATGAATTGCTCACAGTGGTATCTCTGTGCGTGGTATCTGTATTGGAGGCTATCTTTGATCCTTTTCACCTATCTCCCAGACTTAGCTTGAATATCACTGCTGCTGTGAAACAAGTCTTCTCTTATCACTTCAGCTAAAAGTGACTTCCTTTTTTTCAAACTCCAGAATACTGTGTGCTTACATGCTGAGAATATTCTTCACCTGCTACTTTTTATGTACAAACTTTCTGCCTTTCTAATAGATTCCCTTGTATATGACTGGTGCTAGAGAATTAAATATCAAATTAATTGTTAAAAGTGGCAAACTGGCTGATAATTGGTAAGTAGATCCTAAAAGAAAAGTTATATTACTATTCCTAAGAAATAATGAAATTGGTGTCAACTATCCATCTACAACCCTTTTTAGTCATATTTTGACATATATCCAGTTCCAGAGTCTCCTGTGAAATTTACTCTTAACAGAGCTTCTCCCAAGGGGAAAAAATATTATACCTACTGTATTGGATGATTTTCAGCATAGCTCACATGTCTATTCCATTTCATTGGAATGCTCCACTTTCAGGCTTTAGAGCTGAATAATCATCACAGGCAAGTGGGAAAATATTAAATCTGTGTATATAAAATGGTAGAATCTGTTTCTTTTATTCCATTTAATCTTGCAAAGGCATCCAAGAGTAATATTAGCATCTAACTCAGTTTTTTTTATTAGTCATTTGAAGGGAAACTCTAGGATGAGAGACTATAGCATAACGTTTGAATGAGTAGTATGAATCAGATCCCTTATTCTATTCCCAGGTGCAATAATAATCAGATGATAGTAGTTTAAAAGGTACTATTGATAATAATTAGTACTTCTCTTGTGCCCTTCATCAAGAAACCATGGCACTTTGAAACACTAACTCATCAGTCCTTTTGAAATTCCTATGAGGAAGTGACATGATAAGTAATGATATTTTCTTCTGACGCAAGGAGAAAAGAAATTCTCAATAACAAACCAAATCCACATTAGAGGCATGGAAGTGACCAGGGATCCTTGAAATAGAAAGACAGTGATAGTATTGGCTAGGCCTGCTACCTATTTTTCTAAATAAAGTTTAATTAGGACGCATCCATGCCCCTTTGCTTACTATTGACTATGATTGCATTCTCTTTTTTAAAAAAATGTATTTTCTTTGTTTTAAATATATATTTTTAGTTGTAGATAGACACAATTTTATCTTATTTATTTTTATATGGTGCTGAGGATTGAACCCAGTGCCTCAGAGGCAAGCGCTCTACCACTGTGCTACAACT